CAAGTCTGGATTTTAGGGATATTTTGGGGATATTATTTTAAAGCCATCTTAGTATAGACTCTACTGGGAACTGTGCTTGCCTAAGAGTAATAGGATGAGGCCTGTCATTTCATATGGGGATTTCTCCAATTGTCATCACATATTTGTAGAAAGTATAAGGATGGTTTCAGTTATAGTATGATCGCTGACCCGCAAACAACTCTTCTGACTGTTTCAGAAAATGAAAGGGGGGAGCAAAGAGTTAAGCTAGTTCCCCTACATTGAACACTCTTTTTAGCTAGTAGGCATTGCTCAACTTCACACAGTCTGCCAGTAAAAGCCTCACGGAGTTAACAGGTGATGCTTTTATCCATTATCTGGCAGATGAAGACTGTATCCAAAATCCCAACTATGCTTTTTATCAAGCTCATCAAACTATCAGGCAAGCAGCAAAGATAAAACAAAACATTAAAAGGGAAAAAAATCAATGTTTAATTAATTCAGAAAACACGGTCAATTTGCCTGCCAGACTTAAAAATAAAAAATAAAACATCATCCCACAGCCCTCACCATTAATAATGCATCTGATGAGCATTTAACAATAGTGTAACTACATCAGAACAGCTCCACTTTGAACTAGTTCTCAGATTAAGAGACGTAATAAAGCCATAGATAGACACATAGGGTGTATTTCATATTTTCAAGAAGATTGCCTGATTCTTATCATACTATTACTACTCCTCATAATAAATGATTACATGCATTCCATTCCCATAGACTCTTCCAGCTGCATGCAGTGTCCAAAGGTCAATGCACTAAACTTCATAAAACCCCTTTGAGACAAGCATCACCATTGCACAGGTGACGAAATGGAAGCACAAAGTAGTTTAAGCAACTTACCCAAGTTCAGACAGGAAATCGGTGTCAGAGCCACAGAACTCATATCACCTGTCTAAGTCATGTGAATACTAGACAGAGCTTCCTCAAACAGAAGTAGAGTGCAAGAGAGGGAACAGACTTACCATTGAGACCATTGGGGATACTCCTGTGGTGAAGAGGTGCAGACAAATCATCCATTGACCTCCTTATTGCTCCAGCCTTATTTTCGACAGGTTTGTGATGGTGGAGGTGATGATGATGATGATCTGGGCTCCCTGCACTGCCAGTGCTGGACGTGCTGCTTCCATCTCCCACATCCCTGGTGCCAGAGCTCCCATTCAAATTGGTCAAACTGGCCTGGCTGTCTATAGAGCTCCTAGAGCCAGCTCCATTTCTCTCTTCATCTAGCATGAGGACTATCTCCTTCAGCTCCATGTTCTCCCTCATGAGGGATTCCTGCTTTGCCTCTAGCTCCTTCAGCTTCTGTTGATACATCCCGACTTCTTTCCACATCACACTAGCTGTGTGCCTCCCAAACCTTTGCCATTCCCTGGACAGCTTTTTGCCTTTCTGCCGGTCATCATCCAAGAAGCAGCACAGCTCTCTCAATTCGTGATTATCGTCCTGTAATTTCTGATTCACCTCCTTCAGCCCCCTGATCTCGTGCAGATGAACCTGCAGCCTCCTGTTTACATCCTTCATTAAATTACCATGTTCCACCATTAAGTTCATTTTTTCATTTTCTACTTTCCTCAGTCTTTTCACCAGCTCTTCCTTGCTCCACCTCATCATCTCCTCTTCTGAAATTTTGCTCAGGTCTTCCTTAGACCCTTCCAGAGAATTTTTTGCCATATTTGAGTCTATATAGTGTTTCTTTTTAAATAAATAATAATAATAATAATAATAATAAACGGTGTTTTCTTAAACTAAAATGTACTGTAACATGTTGGTCAGAGGGGGAATTACAGTTCTTCAGAGACGATGGGACAAGGAAAAAATAGAATATTCACCTTGAATGATTTGCCCCCCATATCAAAAACCAACAGGTCAGGGAGGATCACATTCAAGGCTTTCGAATTTTTTTAATTAAGTCTCCAAAATGAAACAATCAACTTACCCCTAGGTGAACCCAACACTAAAGCGGAGGCTAATCAGCAACGGTCAGTCGTCTTGCATTTAGTCATTTCACTTGTTCCTCTACAAAAATCCCAAACCCTTCGATTTCCAATAAACAGTACAAATAAAATAATAAAGGCACCATTCATTCCTCCGATGCACACCTAGCTTGCCTGATCCGATCCCTGCCCACAGCTGCCGAGCCGCAGCAAGGTAGCTATTTAAAAAAATAGCCAATATGTGCAATAGAAACCCGTCCCTCCGGTTGTTTGTTTTGCGTTAATTCCGAGGCTGCTCTCCGGATGATGTCAATGCCTTTGGAAATTGCACGTAAATTTCATGACAAGAGGTGGGGAGCGAGGGAGCATTCCTCTAATGGCACAGTCATCAGAAAGCAGGAGCTCCGCAGCAAGGTAGCTATTTAAAAAAATAGCCAATATGTGCAATAGAAACCCGTCCCTCCGGTTGTTTGTTTTGCGTTAATTCCGAGGCTGCTCTCCGGATGATGTCAATGCCTTTGGAAATTGCACGTAAATTTCATGACAAGAGGTGGGGAGCGAGGGAGCATTCCTCTAATGGCACAGTCATCAGAAAGCAGGAGCTCCGCGGGCTGCAGCCCAGCACAGACAGTTTTTGCTCCAGGAGAGGCGGATTACAGAAGCAGAGACCTCCCCCAGAAGCCTGATTGGGTGTCAGGAGCTGGGGGCAGGGACCTTGCCATGCTCCAGTCTTTTCAGGTTGCATTTGCTTTGCGCCTCGGGTCAAGTTACTGGGGAGAAGTGGTGGTGCCACCAGCCAATGGGAGGGCTGCAAAGCGCTTTCAAAAAGCAGGTACAATGGGAAAGGTAGGGCAGCGCTTCTCTTAAAGGGACCGCGCGTCTACACACACAGAGCCCTGGGAGCTGGCGTGCCCCCCCACCTGCCTCCGCCAGCGTTTCTCTCACTCTGACCCAGCCATGTGTCGCCGCCAGCCCGTGTCGGAAAGGCGCAGGCTGCTCTCGGGAGTACAGGGGAAGCGGAGTCGCGGCTGCCTTTTTGCATTTCTGCCACCGTCTCTTGCTCTCTCCGCAGCCCTGCTGGTGAATGGGGTTTGTGCGCGCATCGGGTTTGCTGCCTGGCTCCACGATGCGCTGTGAATGAGTATGGATTGGTTTCTGTTCGACCAGGACCCATTGGCCAAGGGTGTGGTGTGAGCACCTCTGCCCGTCCGCCATCTCAGGAAGGCAGGTGGGGGCTGTCGGGAGGGGAGGCGCCCTTTATTCCAGCAGCAGCGATTTCCCCACTTCTGGGGATAATTCCTTGTGTTGTGTTGCCTCAGTAACCATGGTGAGCAGGAAGCCTGGTGCTGACCCTGTGGGCACAAGCAGACAGTGTCACAGCAGCTGCAAAAACAACCAGTGGCTTTCCACTGGTCAGTCTGAACTGGCACCATGACAGCTGAGGTCCTCAGGTGGCTTTCTATCAAACTGTAGGGCTCTGAGACAGCAATGAGCAACCTAGGTTAGCGAGTGGGCTGCATGAGTGGCCCTCCAGTTCAATGGGCAGCAAGATTGTAAGGAAAAAACTACCTGTCTGGAAACCAGCAAAATCTGACAACCATACACCTGAGGAAAGGTAAACAAAATGTCTCGTGGGCCACATGTAGAACCCTGATGGGCTGTATGGGCCGCAGATTGCCCACCATTGCTCTGAGACATACACTGCACCTAATACTGTGATCTGCCTAGAGAGATAAATAACCAGAGAGAGCAAGAGGAAAGCAGCACCTCCTCAACTCCTGCCCACAGATAGCTGAGGCTATTCTACTTTCTGTAGGCCTCCTCTCATAGGCTATGTCTATACTGCAGGCTTTTTGCACAAGCAGGTGACTGAGAGAAGCAGCACTTTCCCTTTAAAAGCACCACTTCTCTGTGGTTGGCGGTGTGGCCACCTGCTACTACTGCGGAGTCCTCCCAGCCATGCTCTAGATTGCTCAGGTAAATGGCATCCACTCTGGGAGAGTTGGCAACCTCTTTCCCACACAGCTTTGGCCCTCCCTCTCACCCCCCATACAGAGCAGCCACTTCCCCCCAGGGGGAAGGTACTGGTGCTGGGCTGCATAGGGCACCAGCACCAGTAGGAACAGTCCCGGACATCCCTTCCCCTTTTATAGCCATTCACCTTCACAGGGATCCTTTCTCCATCCACAGCCTGTGGAGTGCTCAGCTACATGCAGAGCAAATTCATGTATAACCCCCACAATGCAGGATGTTGTCTGAGTCTCTGCCACACAGGCCACTCATAGGCTGTGTCTACACGACAAAGAAAAGTCGGAAAAAGATACGTAAATTGTAAACCGCTTTTCTTCCGACAGAGGCTTTTCAGACTTTTAGCCCATCTACACGGGGCCAAATGTCGGGAAAAACCCATTTTTCAGAATATCCCTTTTTCCTCATAAAACGAAGTTTACAGAGATGCAGAAAAAATGCACTTGCTTTTCCGAAAAGAAAATGAGAATGAGAAACAACACATGAACTAGGTACATGCATTGAGTACAGTGATCAGCACAGGGCGCAGGCTTGGTGTAGGGGGAAGGTTGACTCCATGTGCCTAGAGAAAGGGTGGACAGTAGGAGAGATGTAAACCCCAGGAATGCAGGAGTAAAGGGCCTGAATAGGGAGCTGCAGAATTTATCATTGGACTATGTTGATTGAAGGGCTGCTGAATAAATCTAGGAAGTGGATTGGCAGCGGTTGGCAACATTTGGCAAGCAGCCCATGATTAGAGTAATCCACTGGCGGGCCACAAGACATTTTGTTTACATTCACCATCCACAGGCACGTCCCCCTGCAGCTCCCAGTGGCTATGGTTTGCCAGCAGATTACACCAAAGGTTGTTGGCCTCTCGTTTTATATTCGCATAGTGCCAACCAAGTGCTAGGCATTTTGGTAATGGTTGGAGGATCTCTCATGAAGGTTATGTGATAATAAGTAAGGGTATGTCTACACTACCCCGCTAGTTCGAACTAGCGGGGGTAATGTAGTCATCCGCACTTGCAAATGAAGCCCGGGATTTGAATTTCCCGGGCTTCATTTGCGTGAAGCCGGCTGGCGCCATTTTTAAATGCCGGCTAGTTCGGACTCCGTGCCGCGCAGCTACACGCGGCACAGACTAGCTAGTTCAGATTAGGCTTCCTAATCCTCATTCCACAGGAGCTGCCGGACAAGGGAGGTCCAACCTATACAGTGATTTGTTTTGTTACATCACTGGGTTTCATCATATCTCCAGCATCCAAGCATTTCCTGGGGCAAGCCCTTTATTTACATCCTCTCTTATAGGAAATAAAAAGGGCTCGTCCCAAGCTAGCTCAGCTTCGTGGTTTCAGGAGTGATCCATCTTCTTTTGCAGAATTACCTTTAATTTGCTGGGAGGGAAAGAAGGAAGGAAGGGTGAAGGCAGAGGAAGTTGTTCATAGATGTCATTCCACAACATCACTGGGAGGAGAAGGCAGTGATGATTGTGCAATGGGGTGCAAGATCAAATGGATGCAGCTAGACCGGGCAGCATGTTACCAGGGCTGCCCTTGATTTGCAGCACAGAAATTAACTTTGTGCCGTCAGAGTTGACCTTGTTTCCCAGAGAAGCTGTTTTTTTCTGGATTGTTTCTTCCAGAGGAAACTGGATGAATCTGCTCTATAGTTGGCTTTACAAAGAATTATCTTACTGACAAAAGAACTCTGTGTGGGGAAGTATTCATATATATTAGCATAGGCTGAGAAAATAGATCATTGTTTAATGCTTAGTATATAAGGATACAGACATCCAGTAGCAGCAAATAGACATGAATGACCTGTATTTGGTGTGGAGGGCTCTCACTGATCTAAATATGAGTACTGCAGTGCTTTTTAAATAGACAAAAGTATTGTCAGCTTGGGAAGATGATGAGGGAGGGTGTTATCTAGTTAGTATTGAGAGCTAAGAGTGCTCCTGCCTCTGTTCCCAGTTTTGTCACTGATTCTTAATCATGTTGGGCATGTCACAATCTCTCTCTGCCTCTGCTTACCCATGTTTAGAGTGGCTCTGATGGATGTTGTGAGGCATGTCTGCAATGCTCTGAGAGGTTTTTGGAGGGAAGTGACTACATCAGTGTAAGGTATTATTATCAACAGTAACTATTAAGGTATTCAAATAAGTTTATTGCTTTTATCCCAACAAACAATAAACATCCTGGGATATTTTTTGAAGGGCTTGTGCTTTCTACAGCCAGCTAACAAAGCCAGTTCCCATATGTGGTTCAGATAGAATTATGATTCTGCTAGGTCAATTTCCATTGGAAGGTAAGAGTTCATAAACAACACACCAAACATTTGGTTTGTTACATTTGGCTGCTGGACCAGCCGCAAGTTGTGAATGAAAAGTCATTCTAATATGCATGTCATCATAGTCTTTATGGCAGTATTACATGGGCATAAAAAGCTTATCACTTGCACTGAATTTAAAAGGACATTCTTCCCCTCTCTTCCCCTCCCCCCACTTATTCTGAGGGTCCCCCTTTTTTTCTTCACTCAAGCTTATCTTATCAGAAGAAGTGGGTTTTACTCAGAAAAGCTCATGATAATATATATGTATTTGTGAGTCTCTAAAGTGCCACAGGATTACTCATTATTCTTTTTTTAACTTCATCAGGGCTTAATTTATTAAGCCATTGTGTAACATAACAAGAGTGTTCAGAAAAAGTTACAGGACCAAATTCATCCCAGGTGTCATGCCACTGAATTGAGAGGGGTTACACTAGGGGTGAATTTGATGCGTGGTGTTGGAAATTACACATCACATCACTTAAGTCTTACCAAAGCATTCCCTCTACAGGACTGAGTCAGTATTACAAAAAAAACTGATCTAGGCTAGTGCTTTTCCTTTTGAGACTGATTTTATCTCTCTCAGAAATCCCTCATCTCAGGGTGAGATTTGGCCTCAGGAAGAGGAGCCAGATCCCATGAGAGCTCTAAAAATGACTTACAATGGAGCACAAGAAGCACCAGGCATCTCCTCCTGTTCCTCCAAGCAGTTGCCTCGAGTGAGGAATGAGAGGAGAAATGAGCCCAAACTCACCTCTGGTACATTGACACCAGTTAATTTGTCCCTGCTTGCATCAGAGATGAATTTGACCCATTGCATTGGATGAACTTGCAGTGAATCTTTCCCCAAATAACCATGGTACAGTAGACTTCCGATAATCCGGAACCTATGGGACCTAGGTGGTGCCGGATTATCAGATATGCTGGACTATCAAGAGGTACTATAAGCTGGTTATATATATATGTACACACACACACGCACGTGCACACTGTATACATTATATACTGTATATAAAGTGTTCTTAACCCTTTTTATTGTACATACTGTATACAGTATACTTTAATGTTTTAGTTTTTTTAAGCCTTTTTTACTCTTTTTGCTCAGTTCAGCTGCTGCCGCTGTTACCTTGTGACTCATTTTTGCCGAAGCTCACTCACTAGGCTCTTGCCATTTTGATGCCGGACTATCAGGAGTGCCATACTATTGGATGCCGGACTATTGGAGTTTTACTGTACAATGCACTGTGGTGTGTCTCACAATTCTATGCAGTGATTAAATCTTAGGATGCAATATCAGGACACAGGCCTTGCAACGGGTTGCCCCAATGTCACTTAACTCCTTGTGAATACATACGCTGACAAAGTGGCTCTCCTGCTCTCTCGGGCTGAGTGTTGCTTATCTAGATTACCTAATGCTACAAACGAGTTCAGAATGAACCCTTTGCCATTGAATACAGGGGACCAGATTCTCAAATCTATGGAGCAACACCAGATAACAAGACCCGACCTTTAGTGCCGTGGTGTCTAGCATGCTAGCCACTAGCCACATGTGGCTATTTTCCTGGTTGAGTGTGGCTAGTTTGCTATAGAACTGGTTGGACACCACAGCTTTAGAGTCCAAACTTCGTTAGTCACTTAGCCAAGTTATAAATCTTCATTCCTAATAGTCTTTATCCAAAAACCAGTGCCAAGGACTATTCCTTGATTAAAATTTTGAAATGTTCAATCAGGGTTACAACAGCAAAAGCTTCTGTTGCATACAGCAAAGCTCTTGCCACATTCCTGGTTTGTGGACATTACATTTGTCTGTTGTCCCAACTCTGGTTAAATAATTTGAGTCTGAGCATTTCAGAGCTAACTGTCTTGTTTAATTCTTCTTTTGTTATCCTCTATATGATCAGGACCAGATTCACTGAAAAAACCCCAATGAATTGGATCTGTCACCATATTAGTCTCTCTAGCTGAGATACAAAATAAAGGTAAGATCCTGGTAACATCTGCAGCACCTCTTAGTACTGAGTTCAGCTACTATAACTAGGCCAAATATTTCCTTCATTCTGCTTTGAAATTCTAGCTGATATCAATAGGGAGTTTCATCATAAGATGTGAGAGCATACATTTGCTTCATAATTTAGGAGCTAATAAACAGGAAAAATGCACCAGCAAAAAAAAATTAAAAAATCCTACAGTAGGGAACAATTAAAATTGTGATCGACCACTGCAGGCAAATTCTTCACCAATCCAAAAGTCAGGTCCTAAAATTGCTATTGTATAATGTGTTACTTAGATTTGAGATAAATGCTTTATGAGATAGTAGACTAAATTTTGTGGTTCATGCAATGGTTAATGGGAGGGAAGGTGTCCACTGCACAAATCCTCTAAATGTGATCTACACTCTGAAAAAAAGCAAACAGGAAGCTCTCTTCTAGGGCTCATCTAGATTACGCTAAAGTGTCGAAAGAGGATATGCAGATTTGCGGAATTTGCATATCTTCTTCCAATCTCACTTTCATGAATATAAAAGGTATAATCAGTAAGTAGCTCATGAACACACACTAATAAAAGATGATGTTTTAAATTAAAATTGTCAATCCTGCATCTGATTTTGATTATATGGTCCAATAAAAGGCGGGGTTGCCAAAAAAAATGTGTCCAGACTAATTTCACTTTCGAAAGCTCCGCTTTCAAAAGTGAGATCAGAAGATATGCAAATTCCTATGGAATTTGCATATTCTCTTTCGACACTTTAGCGAAGTCTAGATGAGCCTCTAGACCACAGTTTCCTGCATTTTTCCAGTAACATTATTGGGCCCAGATCGGCTCCAGAGACCTTTAACAGCACTGCAGGGAGACTGCTAAGCCAGCTCTCTTTTTTTTTTCCCTGAGTGTTAAGAGTGTTAACCATGGTGATGGTGCTACATTTTGTGGACATTTTTCATCAAAATTTCATTTTCCTTAAAATATTCTAACCAGACCTACTGAGTTGGTGGGTTTTTTCACCTACCCTTTGAAAAAAATTATACCAATATTTAGATAAGTAAAGATAATTATTTAAGATGTAAGGTCGAAGTCCTAAGAGGCTCTGGGCACATGCAGCTGTCTCTTGGGATCTACAGGTGATCAGCACTTCTCGTATCTGTCCCTGAATATTTCTATTTAACAGTTATAGCACAAATTTCACTGCTAGCTAAGTGGATGGGTGGGTAGAATCCTATTTTATAGTATAATCAGAAGACTGCATTTCATGCCAGTGATATCGAAGTAATTTTTCAAGTGTTAAGAAAATCTCAAAACCACTCTTAACATTTTAATCAACAGGACCTCAAATGAACTACAGGCAACATTAGCTGAGTCACTTCATCTGCCAGAATCCAACAATAAGCTGTCCCATTATCTTGAAATCAAATGTTTTAAAAAACCTAAAAATATTTTTCCTCTTGCAGAATTTATAAGAAATCGGGGGGGGGGGGGGGGGAGGGGATCAGTGTCGTCTGACAGTGGCTTGTAAGATAGTCTTATGAAGACTATACAAGACCCATAGGGGTCGTCTTCTTAACCACTATTTGTTACATATTGGCTTATGCCCGGAAGCATGGAAGCTTCAATCTCTTTGACAGATATTTGTAATCCTTTCTAACCTAATGGGGGCCATTGTTAATATCACTTAGTTTTTTAAAATGTTCTCTTAAAATCATATGTGATGCATTAATTACGTATATGAAGACTATACAAGACCCATAGGGGTCGTCTTCTTAACCACTATTTGTTACATATTGGCTTATGCCCGGAAGCATGGAAGCTTCAATCTCTTTGACAGATATTTGTAATCCTTTCTAACCTAATGGGGGCCATTGTTAATATCACTTAGTTTTTTAAAATGTTCTCTTAAAATCATATGTGATGCATTAATTACGTACAATAAATGACAAATAAGGTTTACCTACATTTCTGGGGCTCTGAGGTGGTCACAAAGCTTAATTTCTTCAGTTGCCATGACATAATCGTATGCCCCTGAGGCCAAACTCTGTCCTTAGATACATGCACAACCCACAGGAGAAGGGTGGAGGTATCTGAGGGAATGGGTCCTATTGTGCAAATACTGAATGCCTCCCGCGAGGAGTGAGCACTAAACCCTCATTGATTTCTGTAGGAGCTGAAGGCATTTAGCGCCTCGTAAGATGCACTCCATACTTTACAAGGCCTGATCTGATACCATCCAAGTCAATGGGAGTTTCGCCACTGGCTTCACTTGACCGGTGATCCCTCCCTGTGCTTCACCATCAGAAGGCATTATAGATAAAGATTCCAGAGAGGAAAGGGTGGTCCAGGGCGTGAGGCAGTGGCTGAGCCCAAGGAATCCTAGATCCAGTTTCTTGTCCTGCCATGGCCCAGTTTTGCCTTCTTCCTGTTTGGCCTTGAGCAAATCACTTAACCTCTCTGTGTCTTCTTTCGCCATCAATAAAATAAGGAGAATAACACTTCCCACCCTTACAGATGTTGTGAAAATAAATACATTAAAAGAACAAGAAGCTCTTTGAGATCTACTGTTAACAAGGGTTATATTATATGAGAAATAGTTATGATCATGCATGGCTATAGACTGGTATCAGTGAAATAAAAACACAGGATGAAACTTGATAGAGGTCTTGCCTATGACCTTGGTCCTGCTATGAGGGCAGGGGAGTGAACTTGATGACCTCTCGAGGTCTCTTCCAGTTCTAGTACTCTATGATAGGAATTGGAAAATAACAGGGTTATGTCCTTATGAGATTGTCTTATTACCACATTTTTTCTCACCCAGCTGACTTTGCTGTTTTGAGGAGATTCAAATTAAATAGCACCCCACTCTTTAAGAGGGGGTCACATATCTTTCAATTGTGACTTCACCTGCCTGAACACACAGCTTCAGACGTGCAAGTTACCATTCTCAAACAGAAAAACTTCAAAAACAGACTGCAGAGAGAAACTGCTAAGCTGGAATTCATATGCAAATTTGACATCCTAAACCAAGGTCTAAAATAATGAACACACTCAGTGGTACTCCCATTACAATAGGTAATTTCCCATTCAGGTACTTTCACCTTCTCATCACTCTTGGCATGGGCGTCCAATAGCCTTCTCAAATCACCAGGCATGGCCCTGCCTACACTCTGCCCCAGAATGCCTGCTGTAGGAATTGTGGGGGCGGAGTGTTGCTGTCCCTGGCACCTGCCCTCCTGGTGCTCCAGGGCTGGGACCATGCCACATGCCTACTCCCCCCTGGTGCCCCAGCAGCAGCCAATACAGCTGGCCCAGGGGTTGCCTGAGCTGCTCAGGCAAGTACACTGGCTGCTGCAGAAATCCCAAAGGTCCCCAAAAATCACAGAATCCATGACTTCTGTGACACACTCACAGCCTTATTCATAGGTCAGGTTTTCTAAACCATTATCACATGTATTGTTCTCCTCTGGACTCTCTCCAGTTTATTCACATCTTTCTTAAGGTGGGACATTTGAAACTGGACAGAGTATACCTGCAGAGGCTTCATGTGGGCCAAGCCTACTGGGACAGTGACAGCCCAGGTTTTAAATACAACGTTTTATTATACAGCCCAGAATGAAATTTGCCTTTTTTGCAACTGCATTGCATTAGTGACTCATATTCAATTTGTGATCCACTATAACTTCCAGATTCTTTTCACCAGTACTACCACCTAATCAGCTATTCCCCATTTTGTAGTTCTGCATTTGTTTTTTCCTTCCTTAGTGTATATTTTGCATTTGTCTGTATTGAATTTCATCTTTTCGATTTCAGACCAATTCTCCAATTTATCAAGATCATTTTGAATTTTAATCCTGACCTCCAAAGTCCTTGCAACTGCTCCCCACTTGGGGGCCAGTCTCAGTTTTTATAATCATAACCTCCATTCCATTATCCAAGTCATTAATTAAAATGTTGAATATTACCATACCCACGACTATCACCTGCGAGACCCCACTTGGTAACTACCATTGGTACTACTCTTTGAGTAGGTTAAATCATTAAAATATGTTGAATCATGAAGCTGAGGTTATAGACAAATGGGGTTGAAAGAACTGACTTCCCCTGTAGGTAGGGGATGCTTGTCCCAGGCTTCGCCCCCATCCTTTCTCCAAGGTCCCGCCTCTTCCTGCCCCTGCTTTGCTCTCACCCTGCCCTATTCCATCCCTCCCCATTCCACCCCTTCCCTCAAACCCCATCCCATTCCACCAGTTCCATTAAGTTTCCACCCTGCCTCTTTCCCAGCTCCTCCCCTGAGTGCACTCTGTCTTTACTTCTCCCCCTACCTCCTGGAACTTCTTGAATGCCTTATATCAGCTGTTTGTGGCACTCCAGAAGCGCTGGGAGCACGGGGGACGAGCCGGTCAGCAGGGCCACCAGTGGGCGAGAGATGCAGGGGCAACAGAAGCAGAGGGTGGGAGCTTGGCTGCTGTTGGGCACTCAGTGCCCACTAATTTTTCCTCATGGGTGCTGAGTCAGCACATGTGCATCTGAATGCGAAGAGCATTCAGAATTCTAAACCAGATCCAATTTTGCAAATGGTCCCAAGGTTTCCAATAAACTGAAGAAGGATTCTCAGATCTGAACACCTCCAGGGTATAGTGTTTGAAATTCAGATCAGAATGTAGCAGCTTCAGCTCATGTTTTCTTGTTAATGCTAACTAAACGAATCCCATATCATTTAAGGCTTTGCTTCATGTTCTCATTTTAGATCTTTGACCCTCATTGTGGTTGACATTTGGGCCTCAGCACAACTGAGAAGTATCAGGGGAATGGAAACCTTGTCAATATGAACATGCTGCCTGCTGTTCCCAAGAGCTCAGTGAGTAGACAGAGAGTGTCTAAACCAGAACATTGCTGGAAATCCTGGCTCATTTTAGTCCTCTTTACTACTATAAGTGTACAAATTTACTTGACTAAGTAAATCTACCTCCCTTGATTTATGATCAACAGCCACAGCAAGCAATTCTTAGTGTTCAGGTGACTGTATTAAATCTTCTATGGTGTCTACATGACTCAAACTGACAATAGGACTTGGATACAGTTACAAAGGGGAATGCTGTTTGAATACAAATTGGAGCAAGAATTCCACTCTTTCAACATTTGAGCCAACGGAAGCCCCAGGTGGCATTTTGGGTAATAGGTTTGTTATTGCAAGGTTTAATGTGACTGTTGTTAGTACAACTTCTGTTCTTTATCCTGGCAATGCATTTTATTAAATTTCTTGCATGCTTCTCATTTGCATGATTCTGTTTGGCACAGCTTGTCTCACTCTGTGTTTTAGAGCAAAGCCAAGCTGGCTTGTGTTTGTCGTTAAGATAGCAAGTTTCTTTGCCTTGTTTTTGTATTCATCACCCATTTTCTGTTGTATTGTTTTCTAAAGAAAGTTCAATGCTCTGTTCCAAACAGTGTGCATATCTTATTCTTATATATCTGTAGCAATTTGGTTGTTGCCACACAAGTAAAACTTTGAATGGGTGGAAATAATTGCCTTGGGGTTATGATAGTTTTAACAGCTGGGAGAGAATCTGTCAGATTCATGAGCTGTTCTAGCACTGAATAGTCAGTTCTGCAAAGATTCCTGTGTTTGTGATCTTATTATAAGTCTCTCTCTTTCATTTGCAGAACAGACATACGTCAAGCTTAGTAAAATTTACATTTGGGATACAGTTTGAATTCCTCTCCCTAGATGTTACTTTAAACCTTGCTGCAGGCTTTTATTTTGATGTTGTGCAGAATTTCAACAGGCTTAATCGATCAGCCATGGCTATGAATTTGCATTTATTTCATGTAGTCTTCCCCTCCCCCTAATTAAAAATGAATTTAATGCTCATGAAAGATTCCAAAATTGACAGCCCTGGAAAACAAAGTCCTCTTGGCATAAAGTATATTCAGTAAAGCCAGCCACAGTGCAATCTTACCCATACCAATGTGCCCCAACTCAGACATGAGTCGGTAGCAACCCAGAACCATGATAAGTGGTTTAGTCCCATTCAGTCCTTTGTCTCTCTGCTGGGAATGACAGCAAGAATGCCAACTGGTGAGAGTTGTTTTGTGTTCTGAACTCTTGCCTCCTAAGATGAGGAAGGACACAAACAACCTATTATCCATTTACCACCATGCCCTTGTGGCTTATAGGTAACTATTGATTGGCTTGACTGGAATGCTACTAAACTGAGTGAGCTTCAAACAAATGACCCAGAGGTGAAAGACCCTATTGGCCAGAGCCTTGGCTTCTGTATATCAGTGTGGTGCCATTAATGAAGTTAAAATGATTTATGCCAGCAGATCTGGCCCATGAGCTCATTAAAATCTCTGAAGCCATTCTGTTCCTCTTTTCACAGCCTTGCTTTAGAGTGTGTTATAATAGGAAAGTTTCTGATCTGTTAATTTCTTGGTGTCAAGAAAAATGTGAGTT